CAATCCATTAGAAATACCCTTCTACCTTACTGAGAATAACTGGTGCCCGGTTAAAGTCCTAGACACTTACCTAGTTCAGGTTAAGGACAATCCCAGCCACTCTCCACTTTTCACACTAGGCAGTCCCTTAACTACTTCTAAATTTATGTTCTACATTAGAACTCTGTGCATTAAATTAGGTTGGGACCCTGCCTCTTATTCAGGACATTCGTTCAGAATAGGGGCCGCATCAGCCGCATCCAGTATCAATACGGCAGTACACATAACTAAAAAATTAGGACTTTGGAAATCTGCTATATGTTACAGATACATACCACAACCAGAGAAAGAGTTAAGGCAAGCGTTTAAGAATCTTGTATTATAATCATGTTATTAATAAAGTGTGTTTTTTCTGCATCTCTTTTTGCCCTCTTTTTTACAGGCCCTCCCCTATGTGGGTTTCGGCACACTACACCGACTTAATCCAATCACAAGGTATTTCATGGTCCCTATATTAAGTGACCACAAGTTTTAAGGCCGCAGGCTTGTATTTGTGGGAGGAGTTAGCGTTCCTATAAAACGCTACTCCCCATTCTTACCTTTGCCGTGACGTACGCTGTTCACCCCACCCACCTCACCCTCTCCATACCTGCACAATCCCTTTGGGGGACCTCTTTTTTACAGGCCTACCCCTATGTTGGTTTCGGCACACCACACCGACTTAATCCAATCACAAGGTATTTCACGGTCCCTATACTAACCGACCACAAATATATACTTTCCACCTGATAGCTCTAATAACATTTCTTTTAACTTATTTCACCTGCAGGGGAACTGCCTGTCAGTTTAGGCAGGCACCCTACAGGCAAGCTATGCCCGCCATGTGATCGCTCTTTCTGCCATCACATGGCCTCTGGGGGCCTAAGATGCAGAGGGAGGACTTCCTGGGCTGTCAGGCAGTCTCCCAGATGCGGATCACGGCGGTCTAAAAGCCATTAAGGCGTTCTATGATGCCGTAACGGCTTTAAAGCCCATTATAATGGGGACAGCATAGAATGCCCTAATGGCGTTAATGGTTAAAAAAACAATCTAGTTCCTAACTTTTGTTAGCTTGCTACTAGATTCCAAGCAAATTTGTCAAGTCCTGTGATACAGTATGTATCATATTGCTGTACCTGCAAAGGCTGTCTGTACAAGCCGCTGGACTGTTATATTCCAATGTATGCCTGTAATGTTATACCATAGAGCATTCGTATGCTAGCAGCCAAAAGCCGCTAGCATTCATTTGTTAGTTTCACGAACAGGGACTTTACCTGCTGTTCGTGAAACGAACAAAGTACCGAACAGGAGCCCACACACAGAGGGTCGTGTGGCTCCCATAGGCTGATTGCAACATTGTTGCAATCGGCAGTTAATTATGTTCCTAGGTGGCCATCGTTTGGCTACCGACCACGTGGCGGGCGGCCATCTTGGATCCTTTGTTCACCCAGCGGTGTTTGGTCGTCGAGCGTGTGGAACTAAAATCGGCTACTGGGCTTCCAGGGTGTTCAGGAGCTCCGGTCTTTCAATATTGTGTTTCCCCATCGGTGTTCGGTATTTTCAGGTGAACATGATGTGAAAGTGTATTTCGTGCGGCGTGCGGTTATTTATGCTGGGATCTGAGCGGTATTCTCTGACACCAGCTATCTACAGAATGGTCGTTCGGTAATATAAGATGAATAATGTACAAGTTATGCGTTTTTATGTAAAATGTTAGTTCTGCTGCCCGGAGGGATAATCCACTTAACGGGATATTTCAGTGGGAGTATCCCTCCCGGGCAGCAGTGCCTGATGGGAGAAATGTCCAGATTGTGAAGTCCCCCATGTATAATATATTTAGGTCCACCAGGTCTCTATTCAACAATTTTTTTGATTTTTTTTTTTTCCATTTTAATAAGATATCCTCTAATGACTACTTTATAAGCTGCCCACATAGTGGAATCTGAAATATCAGGTTTAAGGTGTTCATTCCAATAGAATCTAGATAATTATGTTATAAGATTGTAATTTACTTTGAGTTTGAAAAGAGAATCTCCAAGTATGCATCCTATTCTGTATTGACCTTCCTAACTGAAGAATTTGAAGGGAGTGGTCAGACCATGTATTGTCCTTAATTTGAATAATTTCTATTTCTTTAAGGGTATTGGCTTTGACCAAACAAAGGTCAATTCAGGAATAGGAATTGTGGACCTTAGACAAATGTGTAAAATCAGCAATGTCTGGATGGAACATTCGCCCGGTGTCGTATAACCCATAGAGAGCAGCTAAGTTTGTCAGTATCTTAGCTTGTTTACAAACTTGCCCGTCAGACTTCAGAATATTGCAAGTTTTTATATCTATATGTGGGTCAAAAACACAGTTAAAATCGCCCATAATAATTAAAGTACCAATAGCGATGTGCTCCATTCTAGAAAGAATTTTAGACAAAAGTGTTGTTGGATTGAGATTTGGTAAGTACACATTTACTAAAGTTAATAATTTATCTTCAATAGAACATATAATTATAAGGAATCTAGCGCTAGGATCCGAATCTATTAATTTTACATCATGTTTAAGATTTGAATCAATTACAATCGCTACCCCACTTTCTTATCTTTATCTAGAGATGCCTGATAAATGTATTTATATTTTTCTCCACCCCATTTTTGTGTTGCTGACTTAATCCAGTGAGTTTCTTGCAAAAATATACATAAGCACAATGTCCAAAAAAGAAAAACATTACATTAGACAAGATAAACAAAAGATGCAACACCTTACTTCCATCTACAATTAACACAATATAACCCCATGGTCTACAAGCCATGGGTTCCAGCAATCTTCCTAAAACTGGAAGATTTGGAATACCTGTGTTAGAACACAGAAAGAGGGGCTGAGGCCATTACCCAAAATCACTTTTAAGCTCATATTATATACTTATACCGAGAAGTGACAGGAAAAAACAAAAAAAAAACCCATAACAATATTATTAGTTAAATATGACATATCCTATAAAGTATTGTATTGCTCCAAATTTTACTAAGTCAATCCAGTGATTACTATAACCTTAAGTGGAGTGATAATTCATTACTTCAACCTTAGAGATGATTTATTCTAATGTGAGTTAGATCATTTTATCAATTTAAACATTTATCTGTGATTAGTTATATCCCCTTCTTCTCACTCTCTTTTATAACATTTAATTATCTAAAAATTCCTACTTCTTATCGTGTTGATTACTATATCATCAAATATAATAATTATTAATCCTAATAGGACCTCTATTAATCTGTAATATATTGTAACACAAAATATTATTTCAGTGTTTTAGTGATAAAACAATGAATAGACCATCAACCTTATTACACCTATATATAATACTAAATTAAGATAACCAGAAAAAAAAAAAAAAAAAGTTCCCAAGCCATCCATTATGATATATTGATTAGGAGAGTCACTCAAGAGATTTATTCTTCATCCATATTTTTAATTTATCTGGGTGGTCAAAAGTCTCTGCTTGACCATCTGTATATATGACCATCTTTGTAGGGAAAAGCCATTTAAATCTTATGTTGTGTCTCTTAAGAATGCTTATCTCTGAAGCAAAAATCCTTCTTTTACTTCTTGCGCCAAAGGATAGATCTGGCAGAGCAATTATCTTTGAATAGAGGCCATCCTTAATAATTTTATCCCTGCTAGCACTTAATGTTTTCTCTTTAAATTCCGAAAAATAGAATGAAGCAATTATGTCTCTTGGAATTTTAGAAGGCCGATTTGCTGGCTTATGAATACGATGACATCTGACTATTTTTTCATTGAAACCATTTAACTGGAGACCTAAGGCTAAGAAATATTCCTTTAAGATTTCTTGCAAATTTTCTTGATTGCTAGTTTCCGTAAAATTGCGAAATCTAAGATTATTTCTTCGTGAGTGATCTTCTAGTTCTTCTATTTTATTCTCTTGGTTTTGAATCTTTGCAGCCATAGCTTTTACTTCATCATTTAATGTTGCCATCTGAAAATCTGTGTTTATTAATCTGTCCTCCATAGCCAGAAATTTGTCTGATAACTTATTTAGTTCACTTCTAATTTCAGCACGTATTGCTGCAGAGTTTGAGAACATTTCCTTCTTTATATCCTCTAATACTGCTTGTAGACTTGAATTTAAGGTTGTAATAGTAATTTCTTCATCATCTTTATTTATATTTGTAGCAGAAGATTCCAAAACAGATGTGGAGAAATTTGAGGATTCTCTTCTTTCTTTAGTTTGTTGAGAGAAGTACCCATCCAAGTTCTTATCCTGTTTTGGATCCCTCCTATCTCTTTTTGTTGAGACCAGAGCTGCTTTTTTAGTAGCCATTTAAGAAAAAAAAGTCTCTTATATATAACGCTTATCTTCACTTGTCTTCAGAGAGGTATCAGATCATAAACAAGGCAAACCTTAGAAAATTAGGTCATAATTGGATTTTGCAGTCAGACCCCATGATGTAAGCGGCCCCTGCCTCTCTCTTCCAACCAGACCTCTGGACAACAGCTCAGCTCGGCTCAACGTAGACCAAAACACACCGTCAAATTTGGTAAGTCCTTACTTCCCGGTATAATGCCGAAGCCACGGTAATTTCACCGCTTTCGGCAAACTCCTTAGGGGCTTGTGGCATCAGCCCCTCCTCATAACGTGCGTGGCGTGTTACGTCCACACATCCATACCCTATTTGATTCCCATTGTAAAACGAGTCCAGTTGCATGTAATTACACATTCCAGTCTAGTAAACTGACCAGGTTTAGCTACATCATCTAGTATTTAAACTGCAATTAGAGGGTATGGGTGGCTATATGCAAATTAACCCCTTAAGGACCAAACTTCTCGAATAAAAGGGAATCATGACATGTCAGACATGTCATGTGTCCTTAAGGGGTTGAGGTTACTTTATATTTACATATTGCATGTGCCTATTTCCTTACATATTAATTTCATTTCCGTTTGGAAAATGAAAGCCTTGTCATGTATGTATTAAACTAATGAGTGAGAAAAATAAGTTGGGGTAATGCCTTACTTCTCTATTATAACCAGTTTTTGTTAGGGTATAGGTTACCACTTGGAGGATCCACCTATTTTGTGGGGCCTCTAGGTGCTGTAATCTGCCCTATCCTTGTGTCGTATAAAAACTAGATGACTGGGAACGTTTTTGTATCCATATATCTTACATCATACTAGGACATGTGAGAAAAAGATATACTTAAAATAGCAATTTTGTATAGGCCTATTTAATTGGCTACTTTCCCACTCTCTTCTAAAATTATATTGTGTTGCCAGTTCCCACCTGTCAGTGAAGCATGATGATGCATGAGCCCAAGAGACAAAGCAAAAAGCAATGCAAACGAATGCCTATAGTGAGTGTTTGGGAGTTTACTAATAGTGCCAATACATTTTCATGCAATTGATAGCATTCGGGCATTTGGCAGTTCGGGAGTTATTTCGGGGGTTTTAGAAGTAAAATCAGGGAAATAGAACATTGTTCAATGCCATGTTGTGAGCAATGTACGAAATTTGAAATGAATGGTTTGATATTGTTAATTTAAGGCTATTTGGTATTAAGGGAACTGTTTTTTATATTTTATTCATTTGGTTCAATTAAATTGTGCCGAATGAACGAATGGGTTTATCTGATACGGAAAAAAAATGAATGAATTTCCTTTGAAACCGAATGGAAAAATGGACGAATTTCAGTTCTGACTAAACACAAATTTTTCCATACGAATGCATTAGTACGAAACAAACATTTCAGAAGTGCCCAAGTCTAGTTGACAACTATGTGAATGGAAACATCCAAGGATTTAAAGCAATGTAAAGAAAATTATACTGAAAGTAAATTTTTTAAATATTTATTCTATTTTTGGAACAAATAAAAGCTTTTTCTTTCTATAGAAAAAGCTGTTAAACAATAAGCAATAGAGGTAAAATCAAAACAAGAGCTTTCATGTCCATAATATGCCTGGTTGATTAGACAAGCATTTAGGTTAAAATGACATCATAATTTGCTCTTCTATTTTCCAGAAAATACTTTTTATTGAACTTTGATTTCAATTTTAGGTGATTACATGAATATCTATCAAAAATGTAAAAAATAAGAATTGAAATGACATCAATTTCTAGAGTAAAATATTCTTCAATGTGAACATACTCATTTGCATTAATAACAGAGTAGGTGTGGCTTAACATACTGAGTTTTTTCTTCTGAACAGTTACCTTTTTCTCTGATCCTATACTCAATACAGATCAATTGGCATAATAGTTGAAGATCTGAGACACATTTTAATATCAAACAAAATAGGTTAAAAGCCTAAGGGGGGCGGAGCATAGCAGTGAAACAGGTCAGATGCCATATGTGGCAGCTCCTGAAAATACAAACACAATCTGCTCGATATCGCAAAAACTAAATGCCATCCAGGCACAAAACCCACAGCACTTAACAGAGGAGACCATCCCGCATCACCCGATACCCTTCCGGTATACCCCAAGACAGGCCACGCCGAAAAGCAAAGTTCAGGCCTACTACATGCCGAGCAGCCGCGGCCTGGAGTACCTGCTGGGTGGAGAGGATGCCTGGAACGCAGAGGGCGAGCTGCAACAGGACCCAGAGTACGAAAGCACGGAGATAGGACGCAGATCACAAAGATCCCAACAAGGTACTGCCACAGCACAGCCTGACATAGGCGCCCTATTCCAACGGTAGGCACCTTCCAAAATGGCAGCCAAACAAGGCCCAGACCTCCCACACACACCTTCTCCCACAGATTAAACCTTCCAGGGACATACAATGCCTGCTGGCAGCAGACTTACCTGCGCTCAAAACGAGCATGCAACAGATCACAGAGAAAGTTGTCAATACAGAGGGTGAAGTTAGAATGATCCAGGGAGAAATCTCCACGCTGAAGAGTCCTTCCTCCAGCTGCAACACAGCCACCAACTCCTGACAGTACAAGTGGCAGCACAAGAGGATAAAAACTGACGCAATCACATTAAAATCAGAGGCATACCCGCCTTAGTAAACAAAGAGGACCTACCGCACTATATTAGGAGACTCATGCAATCACTACTACCATCCGCAACGGCAAGGAAGCTCACATTCGCGGGGATATACCGCTTACCAACGCCTCCCAGAGCCACCACCATGCTTGCTGGAGATGTCATCGTCCGCTGTGTCCTACCCCAAGACAAGGGGCACATCATGAATGCGATCGAAGGCAAGACTCTACTGGATTTCAAAGAGTCCCAACTAACCTTCTATCAGGACTTAACCAAAACCACTCTCCAATGGAGAAAATCGCTCAGTGAACTCATCAGTCAGCTGCGTACAGCGGGGATACCATACCGCTGTGGTAAAGCACACTCCTTACTAGTCACCCACAAAGGGACCACACACAAACTCTCCTCTGGGACTGAAGCACCCCCACTTCTAATGAAGCTGGGTCTACCGAACAAACCCGACCAAAACACCGCCCAAGCCTGGAACCCAGCAACCGCGGAAATATTCATTCCAAGAAGGCAGAGACTGGACACACAGGCCATCTGACAGGTAGGGGGGGAGAAGTCTCCTACCCCTGCCTGTTCAAAGGCGATACAAAATGTTCATGTTATAAAATGCCTATATACCATTTACTGCACACACATACTTGTTAATGTTAAACAAGTTACAACACTAGTTTAATGCTTACTATAAGAGCCTGCTAGAGAAGACGCTGACACACAATACCATGTCCACAGAACACATATCATGGCGCAAGACGGAACACACACCCCCGACAGCCCCTAGGTTAGGGCTACCACCCCTCATGAGTAGTCTCTATTGGGTAGAGCATACTGAAGACTTACTCACAGGACTCAACAACCAACATTGCAACCTCTACCAAACCCATACTGACCCAAGCAAGGAACCAGAACCACAACCACGACCAGCCCGCTGATAACACTCACACTGGGCCAGACCTCCGCAACCGTCCCACGACCTAGTTAACAAAACCACAATCTCATATGTTAGCTACACATATTCTAGACCTTACTCACCACCTAGGATTATCTGCTTGTTATAACTAAAAGAAAAATTTGTGCTAAGCTCTGACACATGCATTGTATAAACATTGTTGAAATCTGTTAATACCTGCTATTATGCATTTTGTAAACCTATTGTGGGTTTGCAGCACACAAAAATAAAGAATTTTTAAAAAAAGACTAAAGTAGTTGACAGCTATGTGAATAGAAACATCCAAGCAATTAAAACAAGGTAAAGAAAACTATACTGGAAGCAACATTTTAAAATATCTTTTCTATTTTTGGAACAAATAAATGCCTTTTCTTATTATAGAAATAGCTGTTAAACGTTAAACAATAAGCAATAGAGCTATAATCACAGCCAGAACTTCCATGTCCATAAAATGCCTGGTTGACTAGACAAGCATTTAGGTTAAAGTGACATCATAATTTACTATTCTATTTTCCAGAAAATACATTTTATTAAACTTTGGGAAGGGCAACAGTTCGTTGTCTTTGTATAAATGGTTGATCGTGATGCAGTCCCGCTCCTCCCACGGTTTCTTGGCCAGAGAGGGGATGCCCACTGTGAGGCATGTGATTGGTGCATCTGGCCGTATTTCCCTTGGTTCTTTCCCTCTCTCCCTTTCTTTGTCCCAGTGTTTAAGTGTCAGGGTGGTGGTTGGTAGAGAGTGTATATGTTGTGAGCGCATAGATTTCGGGAGCCAAAAGAAGTCCCTTAAGTTTCGTTTGTTTACCCAGTGTGCCTCTATTTGGGTCTATTGTGGTATTTTCCCCTCTGCTGTTGCTGCTTTGACTGCTGCTAGCTGAGCTGCTTTGTAATAGTCTCTTATCCTTGGCAGGCTCAGTCCCCCCTTTGTGGTGGGTTGTTGCAGTATGCTGGATGCCACCTGTCACGGCAAGGGTGTATAATTTATTATTACACTATGGAATATCATCTTTTAATGTAATTTGTGTAGTAAATGGCACAAATTACAGAGATGCTATTGCTGAGGTCAACAGGGGTTACATCTTTTGAAGCTGGGACCCCCACAGAGGTCAGATGACAGAAGGGGTAGTGTGAATGGCATAGCAATGTGAAAAGGATTTTACTATATGGATGTGAAGTAATCAAGGATCTGCAAGGTGTGAGGTTCTACACTTGGGAAAAGTTTGAATGTCTCTTCATCCATTTGGCATGTACCTTGTAAAGGATAGTTCAATCATTTGAAATGGTAATGGGATTCATTTCATGAAGATCCTTGTGTTCCAGTATCTTATCCAAGAGAAACATTCATACTTACCCACAGGTTAATAATTAAGCCTCATTTTTATTATATTTGGAATGGGACAAGCCGAATCTTTTAATTAAGCCCAAACATGAGTTGCAC